GGGGTTAACTGATCCAGCCCTAACTCTACGGTTTACCATAAAGGAAAAGTTGAAATGTAATCTTAAAAATAAGAGCTGGTTCCTCAGAGGATGCTTCCCATTTTACTTTTAAACATCCTAGGAATCATAAGTAAGCCAGGAATCCGAGAGACAATTGCTCTATTGGGGTCTTTAAGATAAGACAGGGCCTGATTATTCAGACAACCCCTGCTGGTCCTGGCAGATGGCCGACCTTCCCTGAGGACATTCTGCTGGAGGTTTTTTCCTCTTTAAAAGGGAGTTTTTCCTTTCCACTGTCGCCAAGTGCTCGCTCAAAGCAGGTTGTTTGATTAGTGTCTTTATCTTACAAAATAAAGCACCTTTGACTGTTGTTGTGTTTTGCACTATATAAATCAAATTGAACTGAACCGATGTTGTACGTGAGGAGAATTATTGTAAAATTAGATTCTGGATTTAACAGGAAGCCAACAAAGAGAGGCCAGTGTGAGAGGAACACACACTCTTTTTCTAGTCCCTGTCAGTACTCTCACTGTAGCCTTTTGGATTAACTGAGTTTTTAGGACAGCCTGATAATAATGAATTACAATAGCCCAGCCTAGAAGTAATAAATGCATGAACTAGTTTTTCAGCATCACTCTGAGACTGGATGTTTCTAATTTTAGAGATACTGCGCAAATGCAAGACAGCAGCCCTACATATTTGTTTAATATTGCCCATTGACTCAGAGCTTTCAAACCATCCCTCACTCTGATGGATTCATTGGAGGAGCCAAGGATTCAACCACCCGCCCTGCAATTAGCGGACAACCTGCTTTATCTGCTATGCCACAAATCCATGAGCTGTACAGCTCACTAAATATGTGAATATTAGTAATATGTAAAAGCACCACTATCTCGACTTCTTGTACATTTTGGAAAGCTACAGCGCTTAATACATTTTTAGACGACCATCCAATATAAGATTTATGCCACAGCTGCCCTAAATTAACAGTAATTACCAAAATCAATCTGTAATGGTTAACCCACCATATCCACAAGCTCTTTTATTGAAGTGATACTTTTAATATAACTATTGTTGACATCCAATAACTTTTCAATTTGATTTTACAAAAAAAAAACAAAAAACAGACAATACTATTACTTTTTTAAAGTAAGATGACAAATTACTGTTATTTACTTGCATTCACAAACAAAAAATTATATTAATTTTACTGGTTAACTGTTTGATTAATTTCCGACTTCTCAAAGGAGTCCAGTGTGCCAGCTCCAGTGTGAGTAATCAAATGTGAATTCAGTCATTTTTTGTTTTAAACTTGTTTTTGACAGATTTCTAAAATATGTTCTTTCTTGTTTTTAATGGCAGTTAAGCAATAAATACAGTAAGCACAACTGGTGCACTGAACTCATGCCCGTGTAAGTAATACTGTTTATTCTGACCTATGTGAGCAGGCGGGAGAGACTCATGAAACAAACCAAATATTTGTACCAAATGTTCTTCAAAATGAAACGAATCACTCAAAGATCTACAACAAAGTGAGAAAATAGATTTGTGTGTTTCATATCTGTCCCCAGAAAAGGTCCACATGGCATCTGGACAAAAATCTATTTCTAAGTAACTTCTGCTAACATCTTATCGCAAAGAAGAGAAACAATTTTGTAATGCTTACATTCTTTTCTTTACACTATATAACTGCAAACACGCCAGCTCATTAAAAAGACCTATTTTGGTCCTCATGTCCTGCAGCCAAAAGATAAATGATCCAAAATGACCACTGGAACGATTTCCCATATTATTGCAGAGCAAATAAAAGCCAAAGCCTTGTGCTGGGGGATTTTTCACAACGTGGCAACACAAACATTTGTTCGTAAATTATTTTTTTTCCTCTAGAATTTAATAAAGTATTTCTCTACCTTTACACAACCCTTTTATAAAAGTTTGAAAACTGAGATTTGTGCATTTTCGTCCCTGACAAATCTTGCATCAGTGTACCAGTAAGTTGGCACCCCTCAGCAAAGAGGTGCCAGGTTAGCACGGCAGCTACAGGGTGTTGAGGTGTGGTTTAGCTCGGGTCCAGCTCACCATCTCTCCCGTGGTGGTCGGGTCTCAGGGTCACCGCCTGCTGGGTTACTCTCAGCTCGCCGTGCAGGAGCTCGATGTTGCTCTTCAGCTTCTTGATCTCGTTTTCACGCTGGCACATTTCCAGCCGCAGCACCACCATGCCATCCTCCACAACTTTGGCGATTTCTGCCACGGCTGCTTTGGACAAGGCATCAATCACGGAGGCGATCTGGGAGCGCAGAGCAACGCTGCTCAACATTATCGTGAACCGACCAAGGAGTGAAGGAGGGCTGAACTTTAAAGCCAGAGAAGCGGCTCGGTGGGTCCCACGTCAGAGAGGTGAGTTAACGGCTGCGTCTAAGCGAAGCAGGCCGATGCGGGAGCCGCTGGCTCTTCCCAGCCTGCAGGCATTTGGTTAGCCTGATGTTGGTTTTTAATGAGTACAAAGAGATAAACACTTTCTCGTTTTACGGAAGTGATGACACACATACCGTAAAAACGCTGAGAAGAGCGCAACGCACTTCTGGGGCTGCTGGACCTTTAAAAAAAGGTCTTCAAAAGACTAAAGTAGGAAGTTTACGAGAATCTAGAGAAAACATGCTATTTCCAGGTTTTATCTTAAAGGGACCATATCGCTTTACTCTTCAAGCATTTACTCATGAGAAGTTTCCAATGTTTCCAGTCACATCAATACAACACACACAGCAGCTGTGAGAGGAGGTTGCAGGGACCGTCTATAAAATGCAACACGACAAAAGAAATCATACACTTTCATAACATTTGAATCTGGATTAATTACAGTATGTTCATCTAAAAGTGTTGTAACCAGAGTCAGGGATTATTTTAAATTCCCTCCAGTTCTATGCACCAACACAATGGAGAGCTGCTAAGTTTTAGGAACACCTGAGAGTAAAATGTATATGTGCAGGACGTGTACATATTCAGTTGAAGATTTTTAAATTTTTGTTTCGAGTGACCAGAATGGAGACGATTAGAAATGAATATATCAGAGAGACAGCTCAGGTTGGAGACAGAAAGGCAAAGTGACGTCTTCATTCTCTGCTGACCGCAGGTTTCCCCAAGCTTATAAATAGTATATTTGCATGACTGAATCTAGCACCACTGACTAACAATGGGCCGTGAGATCGACGAAAATATCAGTAGATGAGCAGTTTCTGAACTACTCAGATTAGCCTAACAACCATGCTGCGTTCAAAGTCGCGTAAATCACATTTCTTCCCCATGCTGATGCTTGATTTGAACCGATCCTGCTGACCATGTCTAAAGGCCTAAATGGATTGAACTACTGTCATCTGATTAGATATTTGAGCAGTTATACAGATGTATCTAACCATTTGAAACCCAGAGTTGAAGCTTTAAATGAAAAATGCACTTTCAATTCAAAAAAATGCAATTAACTCATTGTTGTGTTGTCTGCACTTTATTAAACTGTTGGGAAAAAAACCCAAAAAAGACAATGAATATACACACACACACACACACACAATCATAATCCCTCGCACACTTAAAAGTTTTTACTTTTTGATTAAATGTGTGTAATTAAGATCTGACAAGTAATCTTCAGTCACATACAGTTTGTCCTGCTAATAACTACATCACAAGGGCAAATATTAGAAAAGGATCAACCATTTAATTTCTTCAGACATGTTTCAACAACAGATACCAGTATATTTTCAAGGCACTGTAATACTTCTGAGTACAGAAGTATGGTAATTTACAGAAGTATGACAAAGTTACAAACACACCAATCACAGTTTTCTTTGAGTATTTGTACAGTCATTGAAGAATTAAAAATTAAGAAGAAATAAGGTAGCTAAAACTTCCAAATGAAACATTTTCTTGAACAAGAATCTAAAACTGCATAAAAATGTCCCAAACACAGAAATGTCTATTAAACAGTAACACACAAATGGCTTATGGAAAAAAAAATGTTTCCACATCTGTGAATTTGAAAGGGACCTGCAGGGTATCATCAGGCATCCATGTGCCCTGCAACTACAGTGCAATGTCCTCCCTGCACGTGGACTTAAAAGTAGTATAAAACAACGACACACCCCAGTGACCACAGCTGTCCATGTGCGCATCCACGTGGGAGCATAATCAGCATCACGGTTAACATCAATAAACAAACCATTTCTTACTAATCTTTTCAGTTCAATGTGCCATCTAAAGAGTGCTGGTTCATATAAGTTGTTGGAGTTAACCACAGAAGCCGTTCTCAGAGAAATGAGTGCAGGCACCCTCCAGGAAGCCCCTGACACGACAGGAACATCTACACTACACAGTCTGCTGGTGGTATGTTTGGGGAAACTGAAAACAAAGACCAAATATATTCCTCTGAGCCCTTCACACGTCACCACGCTCTTGCAGTTTCAATGCCTGAGAGAATTTTTTGCTACTCAGACTGCATTTAAAGGCCATCTAATATTTATATGAGAACACAGAAAAAGAAAATGTTCCCCACCTCTCTAGTAGATCCTACTCGCAGCATGAGAATCAATCAATAGTTGACATTTATGGAAGTTAAACTGTTAACTCTTGACACCAGAATGCCTTTATTTATCAGTTAGTGGTTATTTTTTAGTTTCTGTTTTATTTAATTTATTCTGTCTGTGTAGGTTGTGGTGGTTGTGGTCAAATAAGGTCAAACTTTCATAAAGTGTCTTTAATCTTTAAAACTGATTAAAAGTCTGCTACCTTTGTTTTTTGCAACATTTAGGAATTGTTACTGCTGTAGGGGATTCTAAATATCTAATTATACCTCTGACCTCACTTTTCCATTTCACATCTACATCACATATGGTCGTGAAAAAGAGAATGAGCTGCCTAGTCAGAAACATTAGATAATAAACTCAAATTATTCATGTCCAGTTATTTACAAATCAATCTGTTACCCATCAATACATATTACCCACTACTATGTTTGTTTTTTTCAAAAACACAATAATATTCCCTTAAAAGTAAATAATCTCCAGAGCAGCGCTTCTTTTTTTAGGTTAATTGTGATCATGCCATTAGGAAAAAAAGACATAGAAAATTTTTTCAAAAATAACAGTTACAATGTTTTTTATGTTTAGATTTCCCAGGAGATGAAGTTTGTCACATTAATGGGACAAAATGTCAAATTATATTAGTTTTATGTGTAATATCTCACAAAGAGGTGTGCGTCCAATGGAAAAGCAAGACAAAGCAAACGATAAATATAATGACTCTAATGCATCTGCCCCCCTGTAATGCAAATCAGAGGGCTTTTTATGTTTCTGTTCATTCACTCCAATAAAACTGTCAAAGCACACTTGTAAAATAAAAGGTTCATGCAAATGTTCAAACTACGGCAGTCCATCTCTGAGAGCTGCAGTATCTGATCGCTATCTTCCTTGCAGGTGGATCTCTTCATGTATTTTGAGGTTACCAAGCGCCGTGAAGCTTTTACCGCACTGCCTGCAGCTGTACGGCTCCAGCCCGCTGTGGAACCGCTCGTGTCTGAGGCAGTTGTCCTGCCTCGAAAACATCTTACCGCAGATTTTGCAACTAAACGGCCTCTCCCCGGTGTGCACGCTTTGGTGCGTCCTCAGCCGGGTCTTCTGGGTGAAAGATTTCCCACACTCGAGGCACCTGAAGCGTTTGGAGGGTTGGTGGGTGGCTACGTGTTTCTCCAATTGAAACAGGCACGAGAAACTCTTGTTGCACAAAGAGCAGACGTAGACTTTCTGATTAGGTCTGCACACCTTCATCACCCTTTTGGCTTTAAAGACATCTCTACTCTGGTTAGGAGCGTCAGCATTTGAACTTGCTGAGATTGCTGCGGCTGTTTCCACGTGAGGCAGAGGGAGTAACGGCTCAGCTTGCAAGCAGTCACCCTGACTGCCTGCAGGGGGTGAAATACATCTGAACTCTTTAGTATGAACAGACTCTAAAGCGATGCCTCCCATACACGCGGGGTGCGTCTCTACCTCCGCTCTCACTGGCGCGCCTGCAGTTTCCTCTGTGGTAGACAGTAAAGAATTATAGGAACTTTCTGTGTTGCTCTGAGGAGAATACTGATCAGCGTCAGAGGGGAGGATCTGCATGTGCTGCTGCAACGCCACAGGGTTACTCTCAAACATGCTACAAGCAGGCCACATCAAGTCATCCTGCTCTGCCTTGAAGCAAACACCTGTTCTCGCCGTGTTGTCTTCTGTTTCGATGTTAGCAGGTTCATCCTCTGGCTCGTGCTTCACCACTGGCCAGATGTTTTGGCTCTCTTCTGTCACATTTTGGGCAGTTTTTGGTTGAAGAGACACTGCAACCATGTCCTGAGCTTCCTTTTTGTCTGCATTCAAAAGAATGACAACCGTGTTAACACTCGATTTCAATTCTCAACCAACAAATGCAAGTCAACAGAGCATCTAACCAGTTTCACCAGTAGAAGTGTTTTAGTGCTGCTGTTTACTGGAAACGGTTAGACATGTCAGTCACAAAAGGATGCTTCCTGATAAACTCAGGTTTTACAAAGTTTAGAAAGTCCCTGATATACTGCAATAAACTGTTTTTATCTTCATAAGTTCTTGAGTTTTATCTGACTGATATATTGCTAAAAAAGATTCAGTCAGTTTAATCTGAAAATGAAATGAATGTCAAAGAAAATGAATTTCTTTGATTCATCGAATTGGACCAAGACATTATAAAAAAATATCCCAGCAGTTAGAAAGACAGTGTACAGAAATTTATATTTAACTATCTTTATAAATGAACTACAAAGACTAAAATAAATTGTTGGTAAAGGATTCAGTCACCTATAACCTATACCTGTACATACAAATTTCGGTTGTTTATGTTTGTAGGACCACCCTGTGTCTTCCTTTTATATTTTATTTTCCCTTGCTGTAAGAGCTCTGTAACATCGAAATTTCCCATCGGTGGGATAATAAAGATTTATTCTATTCTATTCTATTCTATTCTAATGCACTCTTGAGCCTTAACCTCACATCAGATGACCTCAGTGGGTCAGACGATAGGGTTAGGCAAGGTCTCAACGTGGTTTCACCTAAAACATCTGGAGGTAATGACCTTGGCTCATGTCATGAGGAAGTGAAGAAGCCCCTTGGATGAGGGGTGAAAGGTCTAAATGAAACAAAAAGAAATGGAATGTGGGGCCTCCCTGCTGCTGCATTGGTGGTTCTTTGTGTCCGGGGATGGGCGTCCAGGTACGCACCGGCTCACTCCTGGCGGCTGCTTGTCGGGGCCTGGAGCCTGGGGCTCGCTCGGCCTCTGGGCTTGGGGCTCGGTCACTCTGGCACAGCTGGCTGCCGGCGGAGCTCACGGGCACGTCACTGCAACCCCCCCTGGCTTCTGCTCCGCGGCTGCTGAGTGACCCCTCATCTGGGGCTCTCCTCAGCTCTTTCCGGGAGAGTGGCACGGCTGCCCCTCTGTTGGTCTTCCTTAGTCTCTTGTGCTCTGAGGGCCTCTGGATGTCTGGAGCCTGAATCTCCTCCATACCTGCTTCATGCCCTGGAGGACGAGGCTATGGCCCCCCCACACCCTCTAGCAGGGACCTTTAAAAGGGACCTTTTAAAACAAGTGCGTTCATGCTCACAGGTGTACACACGGGTGCTCACACACACACAAACTACACCCTTTTTGGCTCCTACCTCAAAGCACACTGTGTGCTGTCGATCCTACGTGCTGCACAATAATGTTTAATATTTAGTATTTACTGTTATATTCACATAGATCATCGTGATGTTGTTTATTCTATTGCTCTCTTTTTTTGCTTGTTTTCTCTATTTTTCTTTCTCAACAGGTGATCCAGGTCATTGATATATGTATTTTTTGTCTGTTTGTTTTGTTGGTTTTTGTTTTTTGCCCTTTATCACAGTTTCTCTTCCCCACTGTTTTTCTTTCCCTACCTCTCTTTCTCCCCTTTCATTTCCCCAGTGACGTCTGTCCCATGTGTAGCAAGTGAAAATAAAATAAAATTAACACTAAAAACAAAGTGAATCAAATAGACCAATACGGCAGGGCCGGGATGGTCCATTTGGTAAAGTAAATCCTTTGGACAACTTTCTTGGCCTTTAGACAATAATTCTGATCTCAAAAGAACCAAACGGGACAGGCGCAAAAAAAAAAGTCCAGTAGCTTTCTCCTTAGACTGTTACTGCTTGACATAAGCAGGGCATCCTCCATCTGTGCTTTTAAGTCTGGACTTTAACTTCCCTTTACTCTTTCCATTTGAAATGGATTTTCAAATGAGGAGTGGAATCACCATTTTAAATGTTATTAGTAAATCGTGGGTTTTTGAAACCATTTACTTATTTCTATTTTTTCATATTGAGTTTAAAAAAAAGATTTTGAAAATTAGTTTTTTAATTTGGAATTCGAAAATAGTTTTTGAAATGAGGTTTTTATTGAGAGTTTAATTCTTTTTTTGTGAAATTCATATAAGTATTTATTGATGGATTACTAATTAATTTTGAAAACTAGATTTTAAAATATTGTTTTTATTTAAAAGAAACTACTGAAGTAATGTATTATTTAGTAATGTTTGAACAAATACAAGTATTTCAAAAATGAATTTACAAATGCAGAATTCATTATTTAAGCACAGAATTCTTTGTTTTGATGCGTGTGGCTCTTGTGGTCCTCCATTAATCAAAGCAACGTTTCAGTGTGCTTTATGAATACATTTCACTTACTAATGATTCATACTTCAGCCGAACCTAAACTTGAACCATCACAACATGACAGGGATGATCATTCATGTTCTAATGTGCAGTAAACCTTTTTATAAGCAAAGGAAGTTAAAATTTGAGATTTTTTGAGTAAGGTTCGTTTGGTCGGTTCCAGATGTTGCCGTTTCTTACCCGTTCGGAGCACCAGTTCCTCGGCTGTAGTCTGCGTATGTTTGGCTTCTGTAGCTGTGCTTGCGGCAGCTTCTTGAACTTTCTTGAGCTCAGCCTCTATCAGCTTCAAACTTGCTCGGAGCTCCTGATTCTCATCTTCCCTCCGACTCAGCTCCAGGCGCAGGACCAGACTCCCGTCTTCCACCAGCTTCGTGATTTCTGCCACCGCCGCCTTCGCCAAGACGTCCATGATGGCTGCGACCTGCGCAGGAAACGACGAGGGAAAAGACATCCTATGACCCGAAGATTAAACCTCAGCTATAGATATAAGCTGAACTACCAGCTGATGCATGTGGTGAGATCCAACTCCCCTGCTGTTATTTTGGTCCCCTTCCGGGAAAATGAAAAGGCGGATATGATGTAAAACCGACGGCTGTAAAACTTCTAATAAACATAATAATGATTATAAATCTCTCATAATAAACGGAGCAGTGTTCTCTAATGTATGTATATATATATATATATATA